GGAGGAGGAGGAGGAGGCGGAGGAGGAGGGAGGCGGCGGCGGCGTCCTTGGAGCTGCGGCGCTGGGCTGCGTCTCCGGGGCGGGCGGGGCGGGGGGCGAGGCTGCCCGGGGAGGGCGGGGGCGGGCGGCAAGGCGTCCCTGCTGCGCTGCCCCTCCGCTCCGATTCCCCGACCTAACCCGCTGAACCCGAGGCCCCTGGAGCCCTGGCGGAGGCATCGCTCGCCCCAAGAGGGAGGCCTCCCCCCCCCCAGAACAGAAAAGATACGCTTGGAGGTAGGCCAATCTATGCAGATTTAAGTATTACAACCTATTGGGTCAATTACGGCTTCTTTCATCGGGTGACCGTCTCGGCTATCGAAGCAACCGAATGGCGCACCAGAAGATTTCTTTTTTGCTGTAGATTTGGTTTGTGTTAGTCATATGTTTGGTGCATTTAAAAGAATTTAGAAGGAATAAAATAATGCTGCGAACATGAGTCAGGTAAATTAAAAAAGAGTGAGGATGATTTTCCTCGTTTCCCCTTTCAAGTAAGTCAATTTGAAAATAATTGAATAAAACAACAAGCTCATTCTAATTGCATTCGTTTTATTGTGCGGAAGAAAAAATTGCATCGTGTTTCCGAAAGCTGGAGCCCAGGGCAATTCTGGCAGCAGAGAAGCGTCTTCACCGAAGGTTCTGCCCTGGCATCGCTGGCTTCACCGGATATCTCCTTTTAAACGTTAAATATCAGACCATTGTGGGGGAAATTAAGGTTGGCTAGGGCTATTCCTGTGGTTATTACCTACAAATCCTTAAGGAAAGGATTTGCAATAACAGCCTCACTTGCCCCTCGCAGCACACGGAAGCCAGCTGGCGGCTGAGGGTCCCCACCTGTCCAGGCAGCTCCCCCTTGGCGAGGGTCCTCGGTCACAAGCGAAATTGGGAAGTCTGTTCCCGCAGAGCTTCCAGTTTCGATTCCATCAAAGACCCCCTCCGACTCAGCCAAATATTTCGGATCTTTCATTACGCATTTGCAGATAGGCCTATTCCACCCCCCCCCCCCATCACAATCCTTGCATCTCCTGATCAGCAATGGCCGCCAAGCATTTTTAAGAAAGCTATGCCAAGTGGCTGCCCTTTTCTCATGTTTTGCCATGAGAAAAGCCTCCATAATCAACCTGCTTTGCCAAACATCCGAAGGGCCCTCCAGTCAGGGATTTAAAAGGCCACAAAGGCAGCCCTTTTTAGCAGCAGCAGCAGTAGCATAATCACCTGGCTCTCTGCAGGTTTTCTTTCCCCTAAGAGTAACCAATGAGCGAGGAGGAGAGTGCTGGGACCCACCGGAAGGGCTGCAGGGAAGGAGGGCGTTGGTGCTGCTTCTAGGCCCCTTCAGAGTTGAGGGTTTCCGTCGTGTACGGAGCCAGGCTCTCTGCAGACCCAAATGCTTTCTTTCTGGGTCGGCCGATGCTGAAGGCCTCCAGATGCTCCCGTTCTTGTCCAAAGATGCGCCTTGCAAACCCCAGCAAATCTCTTCCTGCTGAGACAAGGCTGGGGGACCCACACTACCTCTTGCAGCCGTCTTCGTTCTCCCTTCGCAGGGCTGCGGGGTTGGCCCACCGCTCCCCAATTCTCTGCTGGGGGCATCTCGGTTGTAGCCTGCCAGGGATTGCCAGAAGCTTCCGGCACTTCAAGGGTTCTCCTCGGATTCAGAAAAGTTCTCCTGCCGAGGCCACCTTCAGATACACCATTGGGAGGGGGAAAAACTCCAGTCACGGTGCTCAAGCTGCCAGGCTCTCTTGCCTGCCCACGTGGGCACTGAGGCAGCTGCAGCGCTCCCTCCCCCCCCTTCCTGGGGAAAATTACAGGGGGGCCCAGGCTCTTCCGCCGCCTCTCCCCACCCAGGACGGATGGATTGCCCTGCAAAGGGGCAGGAGGGGAGCAGGCGACATGGTGGCGCCAGAGGAAACGGAGCAGGGGAGGGTGGCGAGAGAGCTGCCAAGGCTGGCCGTGTGTGCCTGGCAATCACGCCTGGGGAGGGGGATGCCCCCGACTCCACCCATCTCTGCAGGTTTGCACTAAGGCGACTGCAGTTACAGCCTTTGCGTGTCCTGGAACCGAAGGGAAAAGGGATGCCAGATGTTCTTCAGATGTCTCAAATGTGCCAAAGCGCAGAGAACGTAAAAGGCTGGAGAACCAAAGGGGCGTGAGGCCTTGGCCCCTTCCCCCCTCCCCCCCAGAGCAAGAGAACTCCAGCGGCAATGACAAAAGCAACTTTGCCCCAACCTTCCCTTCATCTGTTGTGTAGAAGTTAAAAGCATCTAAATATTTTGCAAAGCGACCCGATCAATGCCTGGATCCTGTGCTTACATTTTTTCTGCCGTCTTTGGGCAAACTGAGCCAATCCCCTTCCAGGGACTCTCGTCCACTGGCACCAGTTAATCCCATCAGGTCCCACATGGCTGGGCAGTGAGGAGGAGGGGGGGGGGAGGCTTGCCAATAGCCAGCTGAATCAGCCTTTTTCTGTCTCTGCTTCCTGCGTAGCCCATGGTAGACTCCCCAAAGATTTGCCCTGCTCAATGTCCAGCCCACCAATCCAGGCCAAAGCCCTTTTGGCACGGGCAGGGGGAGGAGGGTGGGGGAGAGAGGGAACTGGGGGCGAAGGGAGCAAGGCCTGTGAGGAGGGCAGAGGTTCCCGGAGTCCAGCTGGCCTGGCTGCCGCCTCCCCCCCCTTCAAGGAGGGGCAAAGCTGCAGATGCCCCTGGAGTGGCCGGGCTGCCCGCTGGCACCTCCAAACCGAGGGCAGCCTGGCCTGACCTGCCTGGAGCCCC